TAAATAAAAATGAACCAATGCTGTTACTGTTAATTCGTTAAAAAAATTTAAACTTTAAGTAAATACCTTGATTTGTTCAATTCTTTTGAATGGATATCATGAGTCCGGCCGAACCTAGCCTGTAGTCCGGCCGAACCTTCCCATTTGTTCGGTCGGACCTCTCCTTTTATCAGCTGGCTTTGTACGGACTATATAAGTCCCATCTTAGAACGTTTTGAAGATTAGATTAACTTAGTTTTAATTTTTCTACATTTTAGCTTAATCTAGAGAGAGAAACACTATTAGTCTTCATTGGTAGAGAGAGAAAGTGTGGTTTTCTTCATTGATGAACTTGGATTTTGAAGAAGGAGTTTTGTTCAATCCTTTGTAGACCTTCATCTTCAATTAATGAGCAATCTCTTACTCTTTCTCTTTACCTTTGTTTTTTATTTTTCTTATTTGCTTTGAATTTTCTTCTTTGCTTATTAATCATGTTGATGCTTATTGATTTGATGATTGATATTGTTTTCAATATGATTTGTGAGTAGTCACCTAGCCAAGGGTGTGGGGATGGTGTAGTTGCTAATTGTTCATGCTTATAATGTTGGGGTTATGTTAATGGTGGTTAAAGTCTTTGCATGCTTGATATTCTTTGGTCTTTCTTGCAAGTGTACATTGTTAGTTGATCAAAGATGAGTCTTTACTAACAAGTAACGGGAGTTGATTTAGTTGAGATTCATTACTATCGATAATTCTTTGTTTGCACCTCTCTAATATATGGTTCTAATGTGGAAACATAGAGGCTATGTTAGGAGAAACCAATTAACCCCGGAAGGCGGTTAGATTGGACCCCTTTACTTCGGTATTCATGCATGTTTAGTTTACCATTGATTTGCTACTTTGTTATTGCATGATCAAGCGTCAACTTCGCCTACCCATTTCCCTTGGTGCCTAGCTATATTAATTTTAATCCATTTCGTTCTTATTTTAACCTTCTAGTTATTCACACTTCTTATTCCGAGATAGCTTAGACCCTAGGTAATGAATGCAGTGCTTAAGCATTTCTCCCTGTGGTTCGACCCCTCTATTTACCCTATACACGTATTAGGTCAGTAGAGCGTTATAAATTCATTTGATTTAGGTGTAGTCGCTCAACGACACGATTATTGCCTTGTCACACCACCCAAAATCGAGAAACAAATTCGAGGATTTATTGGCCGGTTGCAATACATAAGTAGGTTCATATCAAAGCTAACAACGATATGTGACAAATATTCAAGAAACTCAAAAAGAATGTGCCAGTAATATGGGACGATGAGTGTCAAAGAGCCTTTAAAAAGATCAAAGCCTATCTCGCAAATCCTCTTAGGTTGTACTTAACAACACCAAAGAGACAATGGGGGCTATGATTGCACAAGAAGTAGAAGGAAAAGAAAATACAATCTAGTACCTAAGTAAGAAATTGCTCGAGTACGAAGTAAGCTACACACTGCTTGAGAAATTTTTCCTCGCATTAGTGTGGGCCACAACCAAGTTAAGACATTACATGCTCATGCATACAGTCTTTGTAGTTTTTCGAATGGATCCACTCAAGTACCTATTTGAGAAATCTACACTTAACGGGCTCATATCAAGTTGGATAGTCAACCTAGCCCTATTTGATGTAAGATTCATGCCTCAAAAGGCTATCAAAGGATCTGTGGTCTTGGACTTCTTAGCGGATTTCCCAATAGAATATTTGATGCCATTACATGACAAAGAATTTACAGATGAAGAATTGATGGTCACAGAAGATGATCTTGGACTTTATACTTTGATGGAGCCTCAAACCAAAAGGGATGTGGCGTTGGAGTACTATTAGTATCACCTAAAGAAGAGCATGTTCCAATCTCCAAAAAGTTATATTTCGACGTTACCAACAACGCTGCTGAATACGAAGCATGCGTGGTAGGCCTTGAAATAGCTTTGGCATCGGTAGTGAAGAAATTACGAATATTTGGAGACTCTTCTTTAATCATCAATTAAATTTCTAAAAGATGGAAAGTAAGGAGTGAAAGTCTAGCCCCTTACCAAACTTATCTGGAAACTCTCACCAACCAGTTGGAACAGGTAGAATACATGAATCTACTTAGAAAGGAAAACCAATATGCTGATGCCTTGGCAAGACTAGCGTCATAGGTGAAAATCGAGTAAATGCCTTTTTGAAAGGAATGGTGTCCTTCAAACAAGTGTATTATTCTGATAGCGGGTTCAGAATTTTAGAAAGCTAATATATTCAGTAAGGTCAAGTGATCGGAATGCCTGGGTGGAGGCCGCTTCCAATCAGTAATATTAATGTATAATTAATATTACAGCTTAATCTTAACTGAACCCTTCGGGTCACACCCTAGCAAATATACGAACCGACTCGACGAATTAATCCAGAAGAAATTAATTCGTCTCCCGAGTAGTAAATATTTAGACGTCAGAATTTCGAGCTTAAAGCGTCGAAACCGAGCGTCGGAAGTCGAGTCAAAATAGTAAAAGACGAGACATGAAAATAATAATAAATCAACAACACCAAAATACCCCTAGCATCGGAATGCCCCGAGCAAACCAAGTGCTAGGGGCATTTGATATAGTATGGTGGCTAGCATGCGCACCAAGCCGAGCCTAGGCTGGCTGGTGTGTGTTAGCGCACCAATTCTAGCATCGCAAGGCTAGCAGCGCTGGGCCAAGGCGCACTAGGAGCATCAGCTCTCAGCAGCACCATGCATCCTTTATGTGTGGCTCTTTGGCTGAGAGCACGAGAAGCCCGCATAAGCCATGTTGGGCTTGATGGCCAGCAGCGCTAGCAGCCCGCACGCTTGTGCTGGGCCTGCTGGTAGTCGCACATGGCAGCCCACCTTGGGTTCCTTAATGCCCAAGTGTGGTGCCATTTGGCGCAATTTAAGCGGAGGTTTGAGGGGTGTGTTGGCCGGTTTTTGTAGAGGGAGTGGGGAGCAAGTTTGGTCCCCCCTCCTCCAAATGGTCCTCACCTAACCTCTCTCATGAGCTTGCCACTTGTTGATTTATTACTAGTTTGATTATTAATTTTATTTTAGTTTTAAAATAAAATGGAAAATTCGAATTCTCCCACATTGATGGGAGAGCCTTTTCACTCTCCTGTTTTCCCTATAAATACCCAAGTTGGGGCATAGGGAAAATCACTTGAGTGAGAGTTGAAAAAAGCTTCACCATTGTGAAAACCTTTGAACTCATTTCATCACTCGGGTTTTGGTCGGACCTTGCTAAATCGAAGGTAGCGGACCGAAAAAGTCGGTGTTCGTCTTTTGTGGGTTGATACCGTTGGAGGCTTGGTATTTTCGGAGCTAAAGCTTTCAATAGCCCATTAGGTCAGGCGAAGCACGCGTCAAAGGTAAATTCCAATTTTATCCTTTTATGTTTATTTGGTATACTTTATGGTTTTATTAATTACTAGTGGTTCTTTGGGTCGGGGTCGTTTCCGCGGTAAGTTGGACTAACCAAACCCCAACAACGGTATCGGAGCCACGCTCGTTTATTTTTAAAATCATTGCAAACTAATTGCATTAAGTGTGAAATTTTTAACACTTAGATTAGTAGCTCGTATTATCTATTTTAACCTCGTATTTAAGCTACCTTTAGCCCCGAACCCAGATTTTTACCCAAAAATAGTGAATTTTGGGTGGAAAATGTGTTTTGGAAATGGTTTTACCCATTTTGGGCTCAGTTTTTAGGCAAAAAAACGACCAGAAATGCTATTTTTGAGGGTTTTTCGTTTTAACGAAATTTTTTTAGTCTTTCTAACCTTGAAAATTAATTGCATATTTATGGTGGTTTTGTAATTGGTTCAATACATATTTTATATGCAATTTTAAACCTCTTTAGGCATGATTACTTGGTAGTAATTTGTGCTTGAATGCTTGGTTTATTTTTCACATAATTGCAAACTAATTGCATTAAGTGTGAAATTTTTGTTCTTTGAGGCTTCCAAGTATTAAAGATTCAATCTTTAATTATGTTAAGTGATTAAAACTTTATATTACTAAATTCCATGAATTTTTGTTAAACTTTGTTGATTTAATCATTTTTTAGTTGATTGGAGTCATAAAATTTGAAACTTTGTGATAGAAAAATTGTTTATCTTCATATTGGAAGATACAAGGATTCACAAGTATTAAAATTGGAATCTTTATTGAACTTATGTTCATTTTTCCAACTCCCTCTTATTTTGTCAAAAACTCAATGTTAATTTAAATTAATTAATTTAATAGTGAGTAATTTCTCTATTATATTTGTTGCACCAAGTTAAACCAATTTAATTAAAGAATGGTTCTTGGGAATTATTTTGGTTATATGCACTTTAAATTTTTTTATTTAAGTTAGATTTGTTTAAATTTTTTTAATTTTGCTCATTAAATTAGTTCTAAAAATTAATTTAGAATTAATTACGAAAGTCACGCAAAATTTAAGATTAAATCCCGAGGCTAATGGCACGCAAGACAAGGCATCACTAGTGGAAAAAAGGTTATCCGTAACGGGCAAAAAGGGCTCATCCGTAACGGGCAGCGTCCGTTACGTATGCAGCCGTTACAGATAGCCATTATTATTCGTAACGGGCACTGTCCGTTACGAATAACTACTTATTCGTAACGGGCGTTTCCAGTGCCCGTTACGAATAATGGGTTATTCGTAACGGGCGGTTCAGGTGCCCGTTATAAATAACGGGGTTATTTGTAACGGGCATTTATTTTGCCCGTTACGAATAACCTGTTATTTGTAACGGGCAATTATATTGCCCGTTACGAATAACTCGTTATTCGTAACACACATTAAATATGCCCGTTACGAATACTGTTTGATGCAATTAAAAAAAAATCTAGCACGTGCTAGCGCATGCTGGATCATTTTATCAAATAGTGAGATTTTTTTTTTCACATATAATACACAGATAATTTTTTTATTACACAAGTATAATACACAGATAATTTTTTTTACACAAGTAAATTATACATTTAATATACAATAAGCAAAAATATATTCATTATCACTTCAAAATATATCAACTTGCTCATAATGTCGCAATTTTACATCTTAAGACTAAGACTAATAAAAGAGCAAAAACAAATCATAATTTAATAAAACAAGTTTTATCCCAACATTTGTGGTTTGATATTATATGCTCCACCTTCAATAAGCTCCCTTGTGTAGATATTATATGCTCCACCTTCAATAATTTCAACAAATCAAAATTAAAATAATTGAAAAAAAATAATATCAAAATTAAAAAATAATTGAATCAGCCTGTAAAAAAAAATATAAAAACTAAAAAAATAATTGAATTAGCCCGTTAAAAAAAATGAACAAGTGTTTATTTCTGGGAAAATTGAAAAGCCTTACTTGAATACCAGAGCAATCCATGAGTTTTTCATCAGACAATTTAAGAACATCATTGTAAATGTATCGTCTTGCCTATAAATAAATTTAAAATAAAAAAGAAATCAGCAATTTAATTCAAAAACAGAGAAAATTGAAAAAAAGAGGAAATCCAACCAATAAATGAAAAAAAAAAATCAAAATTAGGGTTGAACAAGAAAAAACAAAAACCTAATCAAAGCTAAACTTTACTAAAACCAAGACTAATTTTCATCAAATAAAATTAACAATTTACTCATAGAAGAGCAAAGAACAAGCTTTAATTCGACAAAAAAAAAAAAAAAAAAAAAAATTTAAAAAAATAGTTTAAAGAAAGGAGATGAAATTCGATTATACCTGACAAACAAACGCGGCGAGAAAAGAGAGAAGAAATCACGAAGAGAGGTCAGAATTGGGGAATTGAACGAAGACCCACCTGATAAAATGGCCAGAAATGAGCAATCCCTTTTTACACTTACCCAAATTTACACTTACCCAGAAATGAGCGATCCCTTTTTACACTTACCCAGAAATGAGCGATCCCTTTTTACATCAGAGAAGCAAACAGACATAATTATTCAAAAGAAAAACTATAGATCTACAACTTAGGAACGAGAAAATCCACGCAAAAAGAAAGAACACCAATGCCGTACACTTACCATCGCCACCGCTTTACACTTACCCAGATTTACACCCACAAAGCCAACCAACCACCACGAACACAACTCTTCTGACCCGTGACACCCACCTTAAAAATCAAGAAAGTCAGATCCACAAACTATTCACCAACAGAAATAATAAACGCTTCTTTGTTGTAAATCCGTCTGCAAATCGTGGAATTCCATAATCAAAAACCCCGAATTCATCAAAATTCACCTCAATCAAACCCTAACCTCCGACTCTGACCGTCATCTCCTTATTTCAATCGATTCCCAATCTCTTTCTTGCTCTTCCAAGCTCAAAATCAACCATAACATCATCTCTTTCTCGAATTCTCGGAGCTCAACCACCCTCTTCAAAAAAAAAAAAAGAAAAAAACAAATTGGTTCCTGCAACGACATCGTTTGCATCTCCGAGTTCCCCAACAACAATATCTTCTTATACAATCCTCTCACAAATTCACACCGTAAGCTTCCTTCAAAACAAATTTCAATCCCAGAATATTATATTTTTGTGTCTGGGTTTGGGTATGACGTCAAGAATGACGATTACAAGGTTTGAGGAGAAAGGACTGATAATTATAACACCGTACTAAAGGTCAAGTGTATAGTTTATAGTTTGAAGGATACTTCATGGAGATGTATAGAAAGTGTTCAAAACTATTCGTTTGGTGAATGTTGTTACCTTGATTAGAGAAGTAGAGAGATTGAGTGAGCAAGAGAGAGAGAGAAGAGAGAGACAGAGAGAGAGAGAATGAGTGGAAATGATAGAGGAGAGAGGATATAGAGGGGGGAGGGCAATAATGTAGGTTGACGGCTGCAGATCGAGAAACCCTAATAAAAATAACTAATGGGCTATGGGCTCATTTGGACTAATTTATTTGTAACGGGCACTATGTGTCTGTTACGAATAATATAGTATTCGTAACGGGCAAAATAGTGTCCGTTACGAATACTTATTTATTCGTAACGGGCACTAATTTGTCCGTTACAAATACATACGTATTCGTAACGGACACTATTTTGCCCGTTACGAATAAATAAGTATTCGTAACGGACACTACTTTGCCCGTTACGAATAAATAAGTATTCGTAACGGACACTACTTTGCCCGTTACGAATATCTTAGTTGTAACGGGCAAAGCTTTGCCTGTTACAAATAGCCTGTTACAAATGAGATTTTTTCCACTACTGTGCATAAGCGCCCTTGGCTAGCCGGGCTGCATAGCAACCCGCATGTGGATACCAAGGGGCTACCATGCCCTGTGCGTGCAGCCAAGGTGTGGCTTGTGCACACGGCCGCAAGCAGCAGCATAAGCGCCAACAGCACAGCAGCAGCACGCTGCCATGTGCGTGTGTGCGTGTGTGTTGTGTTGTGTGGCGCTTGGGGCTGCTGTGGCGCGGGTATGTGGGGCACGAGCACATGGTGCATCGCTTGGGACTTGGTGCATGGGTTGTGTAATTAGGGGTATGCGTAGATATTGCTTGCGAAGCAATGTAGTGCAATGAATCATTCAATATGGCCAGCAAGGGCCACGTTTTTGATGTGTGATAGTTCGCTGATGTGGGCGGTGTAACGCTTAGCGACATCGGGCCCACTCCCACGTTCATTGAGCATCTAATGGTTGGGCAAAATGTGAGCACTCCATGTCTTAGTGCTAGGCACTTAGACACTTTGTACTACATATTTTTGCTTAAAAATTGTCGTTTTAATTATTTTATTGATCTAATTTGTTTTAATTATTTTAATAAATTTTGGAGGCTAGGCTTCGGTTTTGAGCGGCATTGGAAAAAATTTATTTTGACAAATTTTGGAAATTACTGGCTTAATTAATTAGATTAATTAAGTTGGATGCGGAATTTAATGGGAGCTTCAAATGTTAAATCGTGCTTATTTACGTAACCGGTTAAAACAACTTTGACTAGTTTTAATTTGGCGTGTTAATTGGATTAACCACCTAGATTAGTTACTAGTTCACGCGTGTTTTTTTTGCATTGTTACTTGTGTATCGTTGTAAATTGCATGGGCCATTAACAAATAGTGAATGGATGAATGGAATGTATATTCTATCACAGGTTTTATGAAATGGCAACTAGTGGGGCCCGATTAGGATAGAAAATATGGATTGCAATCCGTGATGTATTTTTGTAAATCTAAATACGGTCTGCGTACCGGTGAGTATTTTTGTACCTTAATATTTAGATTAGTCCAAATCGTAGATACTAGTAGTTGCATTAAATTATGGTCCAGTCTTGAAGATGGAGGTTCTTGGAAGACGTAGCCATGAAGTTGCAAATGGATACCTTTTGAAGATTTGAAGATCTCAAGGGGTCATGCTAGTTGCCAAAAGCATCTATATTTATGTTTTTCAATATATATATATATATATATATATATATATATATATATATATATATATATATATATATATGTTTATGAATTATATGTTAGATGCATGTTTAGGATTTCAAATGTTGTGATGATTAATTAAGTTCACTTAAATCAACCAATATAGAAACCCTAGGTCCCTAAATATTGAGTAAAAACTTGCCATTCCAAAACAACACTTACCGGCCGAACGAGGGTAGTGGTGGGCTACGCTAAAGCAAGGCATCACTACCTCTCCTAGGAAGTAAGGCATACCGGGTATGCGATTTGGTTTTGGTTGTACTCAACGATATGAGTGATGGAGTCCTAACATGTCGTGGAAAAGTGAATAAATTGTTAAGAGAGCATTAGATGCGACGATTTATTCAACAAAGACTGGCTTGGAGCCATTAGCAAAGAGTTGCTTACCTTAGGAGATTGAGTTTTAAGACAAGCCAAAGCATGCTTAACCACTCTTTGTTTCATCGGATCTTGGAATCGACTTATTCTCACCAAATTGGGGACAACTTTAAATGTGTGAATAAGATGTTTTAAATAAGTTTGATTAAATTTCATGAGTTCAACCTTATTTAAATTTCATGAATGGTTTTTCATTTTAAAATTCTTTCAAATGTAGAATCATTTAGCTTGAATTTGGTAAACTTCATGGAATGGGAAGAGGAACTCCGTTTCACCCTCCTCAATTGCTACCTATAGCATATCTTGGATACTCCCATCCCGAGTTTCTACTCAAAAGGGATTATGAGCGACATGGCTCATGAGGAGTGGAGTTATGAATGCAAGAGAGTCTCTCGACTCATGGAAAACTCCATTCCGGAACAGTGGAAGAAGAAATTCTCCAACTACCTTCCGGATGTACTTCTCAAGGCTCTAGAAGATATGGTCAATTTGAGGGTAACAAAGAGAGACAAGGGAAACCATGATGGACTCATGGAAGAAGTGACTAGGTCATTTTCTAACAAGAGGATCAAGCCACCACAAGATGGATGTCTTAGCAAAGAATGGCAAGAAGTATGGGCTAGGGTCTTTAGTGCAAGACTTAGACCCGGGATGCCATTTCAAGCCCATGTGCAAAAGATGACAAGATTATTTAACCATCTGGAACTGATTGATAAACCGATGGAGGATGAGCAAGCAGCTCATATGCTTTTAATCTCACTCCACTCGGGGTATGTTGCAATTAAGATGTGACTTACCAAAAATCGGAACAAACTACCCTATAAGGAAATTGTCCAAGAACTCCAGAAAACCTATTCTTGCAAGGCGGCTACGTTTGCTCTAAGGCTCAAGAAAAAGGAGTTCAAAAACAAGGAAAAGATGCGCTATTGTAGTAAGCAAGGCCACTACAAAAGAGAATGTAGCGAGTATCTGGAAGATGAGGCAAGAGTAAAGATAGCCTCAATCTCAAGTATCATCCACACACTTGAACTTAAGCAATTTATAAGGTATTAGATACTGAAAAAAATTGACTCATTTTATGCTCTTATTTCAGGAACGAAATGAGCGATGTTTTTCAAGTGGTCATGAGTACACAAGTGGAAGATGAAGAAAATCTATCCAAAGAAAGCTTGTAATCTCATGTATTTTGTCTAAATTCTAAAACTTGTTAAGTTTTATCTACCATGCTCCGATCTTGCGACGTTGGACGTCATTTTAAACCTTGATCACAAGACCTTTTGTTTAAATGTCTTGTTTATATTTATGGAAATTACACCTTTTGTGTGTTTAGACAAAATTGTTTATGATAATACCAAAAGAGCTAAGACCATGGAGTCAAACCAAACTTACTTGTGGCATTGACGTCTTGGCCACATTAACATCAAACGCATCAAGAGACTTCTACAAGAAGGTGTTCTTAACTCTTTCGATTTAGAATCGTTTGAGAACTACGAAGGATGTTTATTAGGCAAGATGATTAAGCAGCCATTCTCCAAGCTGGGAGAAAGGGCAGGGGACTTATTAGGTCTAATACACATTGATGTATGTAGACCAATGAGCTCAACCATAAGAAATGGACATTGATATTTTATCACCTTCACAGATGACTATAGTAGAAATGGTTATGTCTACCTAATGTCACATCAAT